TTAGGTCTTTAATCCATTTTAGTTATTTTTGTGTATGGTATTAGGCCTTTTTTTTTTTTTCAGTTCTACCAGTTTATTGCTACCAACCCATTTCCCTCCACCCTCCTCATGCGTGCATACTCAGTCATGTAACCCCATGAACTGCAGCCTGCCAGGCTCTTCTGTCCATGGACTTTTTCAGGCAAGAATACTGGAGTGGGATGCCATTTCCTTCTCCATAGGCGGGTGTTCTAATTTCATTCTTTTACATGTAGCTGTCCAATTTTCCCAGCACCATTTATTGAAAAGGCTGTCTTTTCTCTATTGGGTATTCTTGCCTCCTTTGTCATAGATTAGGTGACCATAGGGTAGCACTTCTTTTATTTTTCAGAGTGATTATTTTTTAATTGAGAAAAATTTTATTGAAGTATAACTGATTTATGATCTTGTGTTCATTTCTTCTGTACAGCAAAGTGACTCAGTTATACCTGTATATGCTTTTTCATATTCTTGTCCATTATGGTTTATTACAGGATATTGAATATAGTTCCCCGTGTTCTACAGTAGGACCTTGTTGTTTATCCATCCTGTGTGTAATAGTTTGTATCTACCAACCTCCAACTCCCAGTGCTTCCCTCCCTTACCCCAGCCCCATGAGCTTGGCAACCACATCTATTCTCTATGTTTGTGACTGTTTTGTTGCAGCACCCTTTTAAAAAAAAAAAAAAGAAAAAGCTCCACTCAAACTTCACATCTTGTACTTCTTCCATTTTGGGGTGGGGGGGCGTTGTGAAGTGGTTATAGGAGGAGGGGGAAGGGTCTGCGATTGAAGCCTCTTTGGAGTGGGCTTTTTGGGACTCAGTGCAGACTCTGTCCCCAGAGGCCTGAGGTCACATCCTAACCTCTTAGATGTCCTGCCACATGGACTGTGTGATCCCACTAGTAAAAATGGACATTCTAAACCCAGGCATTTAAACTGTAATCCTGCTAAATAATTTGTTTCCTGTTTTATATTGTTGATACAGAAGAGGGGGTGGAAAAATCCAGAAATGTTTTCCAGTGCATTTCCTTCCTTCCACCCCCAGTCCTGCTAAAGATACAGCATGGTGCTGGGGTTAGTCCCAAGAACTGCATTTTTACGTGGCCAGGTTCTCTCCTGGTAGAAATAGCATCTTATAATTTCTATAACTACTGTACCAGTACCTGCTGGGTACACAGAAGGTGCTCAGTACACTTATTGATCTCTTACTGACTTTGTACCCCAGGGCACAGCTCTATGGGGAGGAATGTTGTTGTTCAGTCACTAAGTCCTGCCTGACTCTTTGTGACCCCATGGACTGCAGCACACCAGGCTTCCTTGTCCTTCACCAGCTCCTGGAGTTTGCTCAAACTCTTGTCCAATGAGTCGGTGATGCCATCCAACCATCTCACCCTCTGTCGTCCCCTTCTCCTCCTGCCCTCAATCTTTCCCAGCATGAGGGACCTTTCCAGTGAGTCGGCTCTTCACATCAGGTGGCCAAAGTATTGGCACTGTGGCCTGATATTATGGTTTACCTGGGAACTTTCACTTCCGTTTTGTCTCCACCTTTTCATCTTTTATCTGCTGAAGTCAAACTCCATCCTCACAACTAAAATTACTCTTCTGGTTGTCAAAGATTTTCATTCTGCCAGATGAAGTGTGTGTGTGTGCGTGTGTGTGGAGGTGGGGAGGACATGGATCAGAATGAAAAGCATCTGATGAGTTTAACCATCAATTTCTTGACTGTTTCTCCTTGATGATCCCTTTTCCTGATTCTACTTCTTCCCTCCCTCCACCTCTTTTTTTCCTGCTGGTCTCCTGGTTTGTCTCTAGAGTTTGTCCTCAGCCTTCCCTTTTCTGTCCACACTCTTCCTCACTGAGTTCACTCATTCTTTAGTTCCTGCTCATAGCCCCTGTAGATGGTACCCCTAAATATAAATCTAGAGCTGTTTTTACTCCTCTGTGCCTGGCCTGGATTTCCAGTGAGTCACAAAACATCCACACTTACCTGACTGTAAATTCAGAATATCCAACCATGAATGTATTACTTGCTCACCCCCATCTCCTTTCTCTTCTTAACTATGCCATTTTAGTTAAAACCCCACCCTTTCCATCACGTGGAAATACAAACTGAGAGGTTATTATCCATGTGTCTTTCTTCTATCTTGTATACCCAGTCTGTCACAAATCTTCCTCAAGAAAACAAGTCTTGTTTTCGAGTCTGTTCCACTGCTGACACCCAGCCTGGCCCCAGCACTGGCTGTTCATCCCAGTAAGAGCCTCTCCCTCCCCTCCCTCCTCCCCCTCCCCCCTCCTCCCCCTCCCCCTCCCCCCTCCTCCCCCTCCTCTCCCTGGCCCGTTCTCCCCACTTTCTAGGAGTGGCTAAGGGGGGCCCTCACTCCCCACCTCCAAACCTGAGGGTGGTCCCTGCTCCCTGCTGAGCACAATGTATATCCCTCCCAGTGTTCTCAACCACGTGCCCTGTGACTGCCACCCCCTCCTTCCATCTCCTTCTGTGATTAGTGGATTAAATCCCCAAGTCATCAAGTGCCTGCTACCCACCACGCACCAGGGAGACGGCAGTGATCTGAACAGAGCAGGTCCCTCCCAGCCCCGGCAAGTTCAGCCTTCAGCCCCCTGCCAGCCCCCCACCCCACCTTCCCGATTGTCCAGCCTGTCCCACCTCCTCCTCAAAACTGCCTTCAACCTTCCCACCCACAGTGAGGAATCCCTTCTCTGAATTCCTACTGCTCTTGCTGCGGGCATCACTTTAGCTACTCTCTGATGTCTTCATGACTATTAGTTTTAGCCCCTCAGCTGGGTTGTAATATCCTCGATGGCCACTTTTATTTGGGCCGAGGGCCATCCACAATGTTGGATGTGCATATCTGTTGTTGTATTATTCATAGTGACTACTACTAATCTACCCGTGTATGTAATTAAGATACAATTAGGATAGCACAATGAACCAGGTGTGGCAGCAAGTGCTTTAGATGCATTTATCATCTAATGAGTGGGTACTGGGCAAACACTTAATTGATTTAAGGAAGACAGTCTTGTTCAGCTGTTCTCCAGATGTGGGTCTCAGGAAAGTCCTGTTTGCTCTCTGAGACCCGGTCTCCTCATTCACAAAATTGGGAGCTGGATTCCTGCTTTTTAAGGTTCTTTCCAGTTCCAACACTGTTGTGCAACTTCATGTCAGTCCCCTCGTTTTTAGAGAACTTTTGCTTTGTGCTGTGCGCAGATTTGTTGCTCAGAGAATATAAAGCAAATAGGGCAGTATCCCTGCCCTCAAAGTTGTCCCCATCCATTGTAGTAACAGGAAGCCAGAGGTATTGGATGGGTGAGGGGGAGGGAGCCGGTTACGTCACTGGGAGAAATAGGGCGATTCCTGAGTTGGTTCTAATTAGAAGCTTCCTGAAGGAGGAGAGATTTCCGTGCAGTTGACTGGTACAGTGGGAGTACAGAGGCACCTCCTGGCAGAACTGGTGGGCTGAGCAGCTATTCCACAGAGGCCAGGACAGGCTGTGTTGAAGACCAACCAGACCGACGTGGTTCTGTGTGCCAAATTTAAAGTGGTGATTGAACCTGTGTTATAGCCACCTACAATGGAAGAATCTCGACTGTGTCAGAAAAGTATGTGGATCCCAGAGGGGTGAGGCATGTGCATATTGGAGATGCACCCTCAGTTAGGAGCATTTATTTTGGCATCCTCACAGGCTGAGGCCATAGAGGGTGGGCGGGGGTGGAGGTGGGGTCAAACCAAGGATGATACATCTGGGTTCTTAACATAATATAATACAGGGAATTACCATGACAATTGGCTAATCCCAGAGATGATAATAACACATGTTTCGGCTAATTCATTTCAATGTATGACAAAAACCACTGCAATAATGTAAAGTAATTAGCCTCCAACTAATAAAAATAAATGGAAAAAAAAAAAAACATGTTTCTTTCTGTCCTCATTTCAATGAGGACCTGAAAGCGTTGGCAAGTATACTCACATGCAACATGATTAAAAATATGAGATAAAAAATGAGGAAATAAAGGTAGAAATAATAGTGTGAGGCCAGAGGAGAAGTGGCCCAAAGCTCTAAATACTTGACCAAAGGTGGGTACATAATTGGGGCTCCACATCTTAGCAACCATGCATTTTTTCCTTGTTGTTCAGTTGCTAAGTTGTGTCCAACTCTTTGTTGCACCATGGACTGCAACACGCTGGGCTTCCTTGTCTTCACCATCTCCCAGAGTTTGCTCAAACTCATGCCCATTGAGTCAGTGATGCCATCCAACCATCTCAGCCTCTGTTGTCCCCCCTTCTCCTCCTGCCCTCAATCTTTCCCAGGATCAGGGGCTTTTCTAGTGAGTTGGCTCTTCACATCAGGTGGCCAAAGTATTGGAGCTTCAGCATCAGTCCTTCCAATGAATATTCAGGGTTGATTTCCTTTAGCATTGACTGGTTTGATCTCCTTAAGGGGAAGTTCTTATCTGAAATATAGTAATTCAGCATCTCAAAGATTCCAAGCTTGTGTTCAGAGACTTACTCTTACTGATTAAAGAGGTTTTGCATCCTGGATATGGCTGTATGCTTTCATTCACTTTGACTGCTGTTAAGTAAACTCATTAGAAACCAAAACTGAAGGCAAAATGCCCACCCAAGGCTTTGTGGCTGAATGTGTGTGACTGCATTGCAACACACCAGTGATTTTACTTAGGAAACCCCAGTTCTGAGGTCGAAGAGAATGTCTTCTCTTGAGAAAATGTCCTTGTCATTGATGGCGAATGTCACTGTCTCAGCCTACTGCTAAGAAAGGCTTTCCCCTCTGCCTCCTCACCTTCCCCCAACACACTTTTCCCCCAGTACACCCTTTTATTCGTCAGTGCCATCTGAGAAGGGCCCTCTGCCCGGAGCCTGGGGGCTTCACGTGTGAGGGTGATGGAGCAGAGAGACATGGGTGCGGGTCCCGGCCCTGGTGACCGGCTTTGCTCTTGTTGACAGTGTGAAGCAGCACGAACGCTACGGCCAGCTGACCCTGGTCAACTCCACCGCAGCCGACACGGGCGAGTTCAGCTGCTGGGGACAGCTCTGCGCCGGCTACGTCTGCAGGAGGGACGAGGCCAAGACAGGCTCCACCTACATCTTCTTCACAGGTAAGAGGCTGGCTGCGCTGGCAGAACTCTCCAGGCTTCTGGACTTGCCCGTATTAAAGGTTCCCTCTGTCTGCTGATTATCAGATAAGGACAAGGAGAACACTCCCTGTTTCCCAGACTCTGAAAAGCTCAGGCTTTACATCAGTTATTTCATGTAAGTCTTGCAATAACTCTTCAGGGTAAGTGTGTGTGTGTATATATATATATATATATATATATATATATATATATATATACTTTTTTTTCAATGAGAAAGTTGAGGTTGAGGGAGATAAGTAAGTCCTTCAGTCAGATGGCAGGAAGTGGCTGGACCAGCATTTGCACCCAGAACTGTCTGGTCCCAGAGTCTGTACTTGCATTGTCCAATATGGCAGCCAGCAGACGTGTGGTGGTACTGGTGGTAAAGACTCTGCCTGCCAATTCAGGAGGTTCAAGAGATGCAGGCTCTACCCCTGGATTGGGAAGATCCCCTGGAGAAGGAAATGGCAACTCACTCCAGTATACTTGCCTGGAGAATCCCTATGGACAGAGGAGCTTGGCAGGAAACAGTCCATGGCGTCACAGAGAGTCAGATGGACTGAGTGACTAAGCACACACATAAGACTTAATAACCGATCTGCTGTGTCAGGGGAAGGACTGAAGGCAGGAGGAGAAGGGGACGCCAGAGGATGAGATGGTTGGGTGGCATCACCACCTCAATGGACATGAGTTTGAGCAAGCTGCAGGAGTTGGTGATGGACATGGAAGCCTGGCATGCTGCAGTCCATGGGGTTGCAAAGAGTCGGGCATGAGTGAGTGACTGAACTGACTGACTGATGTCAAGGGAAAGAAGATGGTATGGGCGTGGATTTGAGACTATGGATTTGAAGTTGAGGTGTGTGTGACTATTCAAATGTCATTGGGGATTAGTTAAAATTAAATAAGGTCAAGACTTCTCTGGCAGCCCAGTGGTTAAGTCTCTGTGCTTCCAATGCAGGTTCAACCCCTGGTCAGGGAACTAAGATCCCGCATGCCATGAGGCACAGCCAAAAGAAAAAAAAATGTTCTCTACCATGCCAAGGCTATACAAATATTTTTTTAAATTCTTTTAAATTAAACAAAGTTAATTTGTGACCCTTGCCATGTTTCAAGTGCTTCATTGGCACTGTGACCAGTCTCTACCCTCCTGGACAGTGGATTCAGAACAGCCATCAGCACAGAGGGCTCTGGAGCATGGCCTGGCTGTAGACATCCAGTCACTGCACTCTCACAATCTCTGGTGACCTCCTTTCTGGAGCTGCCATTGTCAGAGAATGCCTGGCTGACGGTCTCCTTGAGTTTGTCCTTGTGAGTACCACGAACTGAGGTTTGGGACAGCGTTCCACAGGCTGGAGTGGCTCCAACCCTGACACCTGCGCCCAAGTGTTGGTCCTTGGTCAATCCTGGCACACCGAGGCCTTGACACTGCAGGCCAGGGGCCTCTCCTCCCCTGCAGGGCCAGGGCCAGGTTTGCCAGTTGGAACTTGCACTTGGAGAAGCAGGGACTGCAGGGTGGCTTGCCAGCCTTTTCCACTGCCGAGCTCTCTATATTCTAAGGTTTGGGGAAGGTGTTCTCCAACAAGGCTCAGAGGTCAGGGACAGCTTTCCAGAATCTTTCAAATGCTCCAGTGCTGCTGGTGTCTGAGGCAGCACTTGGTGTCTGTTTCAGGTGGGTCCAGGAGGCCGCCTTAGTGTCTGGGCAGGCTCTGTCATAAGGTTTGTCTACATCCTGAATCTATCTGTTGTACCTGTAGATTTCCCGTGACTCAGATCTACAGCTCAGATGACTGTAGGCTCTAACCTTTAATGAACACTTCAGCAAAATCTCACACGTTCTCCCATCCTGCCCAAAGAGCTCCTCTCTGGCAAGCAGATACATCAGCAGAGTGCTCTGTGATTCCGGAGACACATGCATCTCATTTAATTTCCACAACGCTCGGAGGAAATTAGAAGAAGCTACCTAATTATCTCTTTTTTAGAAATAATCAGGGAAGCTTCCCTGATAGCTCAGTGGGTTAAGAATCTGCCTGTGATACAGGAGACACAGGAGATGTAGGTTCGATCCCTGGGTTGGGAAGATCCTCCGGAGCAGGGCATGGCAACCCACCCTAGTGTTCTTGCCTGGAAATCCCATGGACAGAGGTGCCTGGTGGGCTACAGTCCATGGGGTTGCAAAGAGTTGGACATAACTGAGCGACTCTGCACACTAGAAATAATAATGCTGATGCTAAGATAAAACAGGGCGAGGTGACTTGTTCCACATTCCTTCACTTCAAGCAGCGGAGTGAAGAGTCAGATCCCTTTTTTTCTGGTCCAGGATCCAGTGTTCTTACTGCCTTAACCCACTGATTGATTGATTGATCAACTGACTTGTTGACTGATTGACTACTGTGCTGGGTCTTAGCTGCAGGAAGTAAATTGTTAGTTGCAGCATGTGGGATCTAGTTCCCTGACCAGGGATCGAACCTGGGCCCCCTGCATTAGGATCATGGAGTCCTAGCCACTGGACCAGCAGGGAAGTCCCTTAACCTATTTTTAAAATAGGTTAGAAATTAGGTTATGTGTGTCTGGAAAGATTGACAGACACACATAAGCTAGCATACTGGCATCATCAGGATTGCTAACAGGTGTTCATGGGCCATTGCTTCTGAACCTCATTCTGGATTGTGCCACCCACAAGTTCCCATGTGCCCATAGAATGGTACCAGACTAGGAAACAGCAGTGGAAAGATTAATTAAGTCTCACAGGGTCTGTTATTCTGGACAAGGACTGATGCCATGTTTCAAGTTGCAGAATGAAAATTCTTTGCTGTGATTAGCACTGTTGTGTCTTCCCCAAATAATGGTTATTAAAACTGAGATTATTGAAGACCTAACTTTGAGCAGAAAGTCTCCTTGGGTAATAGGTTCTCTGAGTTCTGGAGGCAGATCCTCTTTCTTAATTTATGGAAGCCCTTTTGTGTATCACAGGAAGGCTGAAAAATCAACATTTCAACTTTCAAAAACACCTGCATCAGAGATGTGACTTAATGGATTGTATTGTTTTCTTATTCCTCAACACTGAGAGTCCAGTTGAATTTTCAGGATAGGGTTTAGCGCTTTGTCTTTTCAGGCATTAGAGAACCAAGATGGGCTGTTATGGAGGCTGTTGGCTCTGGAGTCTCTCAGAACATGTGCTTCCCCACCACCCACACAGAGAAACGTCTGGCATCCATTATGTGTGTGTGTTTCCTAGAGTTTGATTGTAAACACTGTGAAGCTTCTTTTGACTGTTAATTTGCTCAATTTTTGATTAAGCAACTGCTACAAGTTATATTTATATTCCATCTTCATCCAGGAGGTTCTCAGAAGGTTTTCCCCTCCTCTGCTCTAACTTTGTATTGAAGTATGACTTATACTAAGGGAAATACATAGATCACAACTCTGCAGCTTAGTGAATGATCCTCAAGTTAACCACCCCCCAGATCATGTAACCACCTCCCAGATCAAGACCAGGGGGTGGGGTGGGGAGAAACGTTACCAGCAGCAGGGCTTCCTCGTAGTAAGAGGCATGGGCTCCAGTTTACACGTGTGGTAAAACCATCTGAACCAGCACTTTACCAAGTATGGAGTTTGTTATAACTTGGGTTTTAGTTTATAACCTATTAACTCTAATATTTTTGAAATCTTACATTTCTGTGTGTTTTGTTTTTTAAAGCAATGTTTGTCATCCACTTGAGTAGATACCAAGCATATTTGTAGAGGCATTTGTGATCTATAATTTTAAATATAAACTTGAACACATTTTTTTTTTTTTGGTAGATGGATTCTACTGATGGCAGAATTTTTTTACTTTAAAAGAAATTCAGTTTTTGCAATTTATCAAGTTACAACAATTCAACTGAATTAATAAAAATATGTATATGCTCAATAAATGTCCAGGAATGAATAAATGAAAATTGGACAGATTTAATTTATAGATAGTAATTTGCTTACTCATTCAAATATTCTTTCTGCAGCCTTGCTTACTTCATTCACTTGGCAAATACATTTTATTTTTCTGTTGGTTAAGGCAAACTGGTGTGGTCCCTTCTTTCAAAACATGGATTAGAGTATAGGAAATAAGGCCTCATTTTTGTGTTCTGAAATTCAAATTGTTCACTTATTCTACTGGCTTTGCACGCACACTGGTTCAGATTCCTCTTGTTGTTCAGTTGCCAAGTTTTGCCAGACTCCTTGAGACCCCACTGCCTGCAGCATTCCAGGCTTCCCTATCCCTCGTCATCTCCTGCAGTTTGACCAAGTTCATGTCCATTGATTTGGTGATGCCATCCAACCATCTCATCCTGTGTTGTCCCCTTCTCCTCCTGCCTTCAATCTTTCCCAGCATCAGGGTCTTTTCCAATGAGTCAGTTCTTTGTATCAGGTGGCCAAAGTATTGGAGTTTCAGCTTCAGCATCAGTCCTTCCAATGAATATTCAGGACTGATTTCCTTTAGGATTGACTGGCTGGATCTCCTTGCAGTCCAAGGGACTCTCAAGAGTCTTTTCCAGCACCACAGTTCAAAAACATCAATTCTTTGGTGCTCAGCTTTCTTTATGGTCCAGCTCTCACATCCATACATGACCACTAGAAAAACCATAGCGTTGACATTTGTCAGGAAAGCGATGTCTTTTCTTTTTAACACACTGTCTAGGTTTGTCATAGCTTTCTTGCCAGAAAGCAGTTGTCTTTTAATTTCATGGCTGCAGTCACCATCCTCAGTGGTTTTAGAGCCCAAGAAGAGGAAATCTGTCACTGCTTCCACCTTTTCTCCTTCGGGTGCCATGATCTTAGTTATTTTAATATTGAGTTTTAAGACAGATTTTTCATTCTCTTCCTTCACCCTCATCAAGAGGCCCTTTAGTTCCTCTTCGCTTTCTGCCCTAAGGGTGGTGTCTTCCGTGTATATGAGGTTATTGATATTTCTCCCCATAATCTTGATTCCAGCTTGTGCTTCATCTAGTCTGGCATTTCACATGATGTACTTTGCATATAAGTTAAATAAGCAGGGTGACAATATACAGCCTTGACATACTCCTTTCCCAATTTGGAACCAGTCCATTGTTCCATGTCTGGTTCTAACTAATGCTTTTTGACTTGCATGTAGGTTTCTCAGGAGGCAGGTAAGGTGCTCTGATATTCCCATGTCTTTAAGAATTTTCCACAGTTTGTTGTGATCCACACAGTCAAAGATGTTAACGTAGTCAGTGAAACAGAGGTAGCTGTTTTTATGCAATTCTCTTGCTTTCTCTATGAGCCAACCGATGTTGGCAGTTTGATCTCTGGTTTCTCTGCCTTTTCCAAAACCAGCTTGAACATCTGGAAGTTCTCTGTTCACATAATGCTGAAGTCTAGCTTGAAGGATTTTGAGCATATCCTTACTAGCATGGGAGATGAGAGAAATTGTCTGGTGGTTTGAACATTCTTTAGTACTGCCCTTTCTTGGAAATTGGGATGAGGATTGACCTTTTCCAGTCCTGTGGCCACTTTTGGTTTTCTAAATTTGCTGACAGATTGAGTGCAGCATTTTAAAAGCACCACCTTGTAGGATTTTAAATAGCTCTGCTGGAATTCCATCACCTCCACTAACTTTATTGGCAGCAGTGCTTCCTAAGGCCTGATTGACTTCACACTCCACAATGTCTGGCTCTGGGTAAGTGACCACACCATCATGGTTAACTGGGTCATTAAGATCTTTTTTGTGTAGTTCTTCTGGGTATTCTTGACATCTGTTCTTGATCTCTTCTGCTTCTATTAGGTCTTTACCGTTTCTGTCCTTTATTGTGCCCATCTTTAGATGAAATATTCCTTTGATATTACCAGTTTTCTTGAAGAGATCTCTAGCCTTTCCCCTTATGCTGTTTTACTCTATTTCTTTGCACTGTTTATTGACGAAGGCCATCTTGTCTCTTCTTGCTACCCTCTGGAACTCTGCACTTAGTTGGGTATACCTTTCCCTTCCTCCTTTGCTTTTTACTTCTCTTCTTTCCTCAACTATTTATAAAGCTTCCTCAGACAACCACTTTGCCTTCTTGCATTTCTTTTTCTTTGGGATGGTTTTGTTCGCTGCCTCCTGTACAATATTCCAAACCTCTATTCATAGTTCTTCAGGCACTCTGCTTACTGATCTAATCCCTTGAATCTATTCATCACCACCACTGTATATTCATAGGGGATTTAAGTCATACCCAACTGGCCTAGTGGTTTTCCTCATTTTCTTTAGTTTAAGCCTGAATTTTGCTATGAGGAGCTGATGATCTGAGTCACAGTCAGCTCCCGGTCTTGTTTTTGCTGACTGTATAGAGCTTTTCCATCTTTGGCAGCAAAGAATGTAATCAATCTGATTTTGGGATTGACTATTTGGTGATGTCCATGTGTAAAGTTGTTTTCTGTGTTGTTGAAAAAGGGTGTTTGCTATGACAAGTGCATTCTCTTGGCAGAATTCTGTTAGCCTTTGCCCTGCTTCATTTTGTACTCCAAAGCCAAACTTGCCTGTTACTCCAGATATCTCTTGACTTCCTACTTTTGCATTCCAGTCTCCTGTGATGAATAGGACATCTCTTTTTTTGGTGTTAGTTCTAGAAGGTCTTCTAGGTCTTCACAGAACTGATCAACTTCAGCTTCTTCAGCATCAGTGATTGGGGCATAGACTTGGATTACTGTGATGTTGAATGGTTTGCCTTGGAAATGAACTGAGATCATTCTGTTGTTTTTTGAGGATGAACCTAACTACTACATTTTGAACTCTTTTATTGATTGTGAGGGCTGCTCCATTTCTCCTGAAGGATTCTTGTCCACAGTAGTAGATATAATGGTCATCTGAATTAAATTCACCCATTCCCGTCCATTTTAGTTCCCTGATTTCTAAGATGTCGATGTTCACTCTTGCCATCTCCTGCTTGACCATGTCCAATTTACCTGGATTCATGGTCCTAACATTCCAGGTTCCTAGGTAATACTGTTCTTACAGCATCAGATTTTACTTTCATCACCAGACACACCCGCAACTTAGTGTTGTTTCTGCTTTGGCCCAGATGCTTCATTCTTCGTGGAGCTATTAGTAATTGCCCTTCACTCTTCCCAGTAGCCTATTGGACACCTTCTGACCTGGGAGGGCTCACCTTTCAGTGTCATATCTGTTCGCCTTTTTATACAGTTCATGGGATTCTCACTGCAAGTGTACTGGAGTGATTTACCATTCCCTGCTCCAGTGGACCACATTTTGTCAGAACTCTCCACCATGACCTGTCCATTTTGGGTGGCCCTACATGGCATGGCTTATAGCTTCATTGAGTTACACAAACCCCTTTGCAAGACAAGGCTGCGATCCATGAAGGGGTCAGATTCCTGTGCAAAACCTTAAAACAAAAGTTATTTCTGAATCTGACAATCACACCTTCCTTAAATATTTGCTAAAAAGATATCTTTACTTTCTTGGGCTCCAAAATCACTGCCGATGGTGACTGCAGCCATGAAATTAAAAGACAATTACTCCTAGGAAGAAAAGTTATGAGCAACCTAGATAGCATATTAAAAAAGCAGAGACGTTACTTTGCCTTTAAAGGACTGTATAGTCAAAGCTATGGTTTTTCCAGTAGTCATGTATAAATGTGAGAGTTGGACTATAAAGAAAGCTGAGTGCTGAAGAATTGATGTTTTTGAACTGTGGTGGTGAAGAAGACTCTTGAGAGCCCCTTGGATTGCAAGGAGATCAAACCAGTCAGTCCTAAAGGAAATCAACTCTTAATATTCATTGGAAGGACTGATACTGAGGCTGAAGCTCCAATACTTTGGCCACCTGATGCAAAGAACTGACACATTGGAAAAGACCCTGATGCTGGGAAAGACTGAAGGCAGGAGGAGAGGGGGATGACAGAGGATGAGATGGTTGGATGGCATCAGTGGACTCAATGAATGTGAGTCTGAGCAAGCTCCAGGAGTTGGTGATGGACAGGAAAGCCTGGAATGCTGCAGGCAGTGGGGTCTCAAAGAGTCGGACATGACTGAGCGACTGAACTGAACTGACTGACAAAGAGATCTTTAATACAAATGCTCCAGATTCTCCTCTTTAGAAACAGGGATACTGAAGCACAGAGAGATGAAGTGACAGATTCAAGGCCACATGGACTTACTCCATTTGAACACAGGGGTGTTAGGTAAGATATTGACCAAGGTAGCCTTGCCTAAGCCTGAAAGGTAACATATTGTAAAGTGGCGCAAATTGCCTGGCCTGATGGAAGGTCTTACAAAAGGTGGAGATTTCCTGAGCCATGAGTCCATGTTAGAGATGCTGGTATTATTAAAAATATTATAATACTTATAGGCAAAGAACTCTTGGCCCGTGAAGGCATTTGCTATTGTGTCCAGGAATTCTGTTCTCAATGTAAAAAACAGTCATACAACTAGGGCACAAAGGCTAGTGAAGCAAGCCAAGAATAACTGTTTCAGAAATATGGTTGGAAAACATAGGAGACAATTGAACAAAGGTTGGGGTGTGATTCAGTTCAATGATTTCCCTTAGCAATCACTATAATCTCTCATGGAATGATCCAGAAAACAAAGTATTTAATGTTTCATGCCCCAAACAAAAAAACACCCCCCACAATCCAGAGTCCCTTGACCGTGCTGAGCAAAGTACAGGGAAACCAGTTCTCATTTCTCTACGATAAAAATGCCATCACCAGAACTTCTCTGGTGGTCCAGTGGCTAAGACTTTGCACTCCCAGTGCAGCAGGCCTGGGTTCAATCCCTGCTCAGGGCACTAGATCCCATAGGCCTTAACTGGAAAAAAAAAAAAAAAGCCACCATCAAGAGCTTAAAGAACATGCAGGGTGAATTCTCAGGGAACAGGTAAAGTGTAAGAAACAGGCTGAAGGTCCGCAGCCCAGTGGCAGCCAAAATAGAGCTCAGAACCTGAGACTAGCTGGCTCCTCGTGTGTCCCTGCTTAATTCTCTTTCCATTGACCTCGGGCAGAAATGAGGTCCTCTGGCCTGTGAGGACACCGGCACCACACTGGGCCTGGCTCAGAGAGGCTCGCTGGGCGGGGGAGTCCCTCCCAGTTACTGAGCAACGGCTGTGGGGCTGACCTCTCTAGAGACACGGCAGAGGGTTCCTAGGTGTTAAAACTGCTCTTAGCACAAGGAAACCAGTCCCCTTCACTGCTTCCTCAGTGGGGTAAACCAGTGGGCCTGATTTGGGCTTGAAGTAATACTGATTTTATTTCAAGAAGATAGGAAGTAATATCCTTTATCCAAAAAAGGAAACTCATTTTTTAACAACTTACTGACCAGAGACATATTAATAAGTCTTTTGTTACCCACGCTGATGGCCACAGGCATTAGTTTCTGCAAAAATCCCCTGGTCAGGAATGTATTAAAATGAAAGTGAAAGAAAGTGTTAGTTGCTCAGTCCTGTCCGACTCTTTGCTACCCCACGGATGGTAGCCCACCAGGCTCCTCTGTCCATGGGATTCTCCAGGGAGAATACTGGAGTGGGTTGCCATTCCCTTCTCCAGGGGAGATTCCCCACCCAGGGATGGAACCCAGTTCTCCTGCATTGCAGGCAGATTCTTTACCTTCTGAGCTACCAGGAAAGCCTTTAATGTGTTAAAATAGCCTTTTCAATTCCTAAGGACTCCATGTTTGGAGTACACTGCCAATCCCCTCTCATCCTCCTGCCCTGAATATAAGCATCCCTTTAAGTGTTCTCACCCTGTTTCTCCAGGCTAAATGAGCCCGTGTCTTTCCCTTTGCAGAGAAAGGCGAACTCTTCGTACCTTCGCCCAGTCACTTTGATGTCGTCTACCTGAACCCGGACAGGCAGGCTGTGGTTCCTTGCCGAGTGACCGTCCTGTCGGCCAAGGTCACTCTCCACAGGGAGTTCCCGGCCAAGGAGATCCCGGCCAACGGAACGGACATCGTTTACGACCTGAAGAGAGGCTTTGTGTATCTGCAGCCTCACTCCGGCCACCAGGGGGTGGTCTACTGCAAGGCGGAGGCGGGGGGCAAGTCTCAGATCTCCGTCAAGTACCAGCTGCTCTACGCGCAGGGTAAGCCCTTCCGGAGCGAGACGCGAGCCCCTTCCGCTGGTCAGTTTCGGGTACCGCTGTCCCCAGTGATGGCGGGAGAGTAGGAGGCACAGATGGCTGTTCTTAAAGGCTCCTCTGCAGCGCTGTCATTTCTAGAATGTTCTACATTCTTTCCTATGACCCCCACCCCTCACCCCCACCCCAACTCCCTTTTCTTCAGCTCCTTCCAGCGTGCTCTCTGGTCGAGGCTCCGTGTGTGTGATCAGCAGCAGGCCACATCCCCGCGGCATCCTCCCGCGCTCTCCATCCTGGCTGCTGGCGCCAGGGGCGGGAGGTGGGAGGCGCCTCCCCCGACCTTCAGGACCAGCCCTGCGAGGGAGGAGAGGAGGGTCTCTCTCCTGTTTTCACTCGGAGCACTCTGACATGAGCCCGGTTGATGGTCATCGTGTGAGGCAGAGTGATCTGCAGCCGTGTTCCTGCCCAGGCATTTCTGCGATCAGATGGGTGGCCCCGGAGCTGACTGCTCTCCGAGATGGGAATTTGGGCTCCTTCGGGACTCTGGGTCTCAGCCCTGGGGCTTATTCATGAGGCCACAGCTTCCAACACTCTGCTGTCAAATAATTCTCTCAAGCCTCCTTTCGCCACCCTGGGCTGCAGCCATCTCTCTCCTCCGTCACAGCCAGGCTCCCTGAAAGAGCCCTCCCCGGCCCCCGTCGGGGTGCTTCCCTCCCACCCGGCTCCTCGGTCTTCTCCCCTAGCTCCACCAAGGCAGCCTTGGCTAGAGGGCCTCCTAGGCCATTAAGTGCAGCAGACAGCTTCCTGTCCTCGTCCTTCTAGGTTTTACCTCGCCTACAAAAAAGCCCCTCTTCCCTGGTCCCATTGCTCCTGCTGCTTTAGCCACAGCATTCTTATTATCTTTGCCAGCTCTTTGCCTCTTGCAGGTTTTTTCCTTTGTTAATTTTTATTGGACTATAGTATTCTTGCTTGGAGAATCCCATGGACGGAGGAGCCTGGTGGGCTACAGTCCACGGGGTCGCAAAGAGTCGGACACGACTGAGCGACTTCACTTTCACTTTCATAGTTGATTTACAATCTTGTGCTAGTTTCAGGTGTATAGCAAAGTGAATCAGTTATGCATATACATATATCCACTCTTTTTAGATAGATTCTTTTCCCATATAGGGCACTGCAGAGTATTGAATAGAGTTCCCTGTGCTATACAGTAGGTCCTTATTAGTTATCTATTTTATATTTAGTACTGTGTATATGTCAATTCCAATCTCCCAATTTATCCCTCCCCTGCTTTTCCCCCTAGTAACCATAGATTTTTTTTTAATGTCTGTGATTCTATTTCTGTGTTGTAAATAAGTTCATTTGTAACATTTTTCTAGATTCCACATATAAGTGATATCATATGATATTTGGCTTTCTCTGTCTGACTTTACTCAGTATGACAGTCTCTAGGTCCATCCATTTTGCTGCAAATGGCATTATTCTTTTTTACTGCTGAGTAATATCCCACTGTGTATAGATGTTCCACATCTTCTTTATCCATTCCTCTGTCAATGACACTTAGGTTGCTTTCATGTCTTGATTATTGTAAATAGTACTGCAATGAATAACTGGGTACATCTATCCTTTTGAATTATGGTTTTCTCTGGATATGTGCCCAGAAGTAGGATTGCTATATCATTTGGTAGTTCTTTATTTAATTTTTAAAAGAAACATCCATACTGTTCTCCATACTGTTGTAACAATTTACAGTCCCGTCAACAGGATGGGAGGGTTCCTTCTCCACACCCTATCCAGCATTTCTTGTTTGTAGATTTTTTGATGATGGCCATCCTGATTGGTGTGAAGTGATACCTCTTTGTAGTTTTGATTTGTATTTCTCTAGCAAATAGTGACGCTGAATATCTTTTCATGTGATTTTTGGCCATCTATATGTCTTCTTGGAGACATGCTTATTTAGATCTTCTACCCATTTTTGATTGGGTTGTTATTTTAATAAGGCGTTACATGAGCAGATTGTATGTTTTGGAGATTAATCCTTTGTCAATCACTTTGTTTACAAACATTTTGTCCCATTTTGTGGGTTTTTTCATTGTGTTTATGGCTTCCTTTGTTCTGTGAAAGTTTTTAGGTTTAATTAGGCCCTATTTATTTATATTTGTTTTTATTTTTGTGACTCTAGGAGGTGGATCAAAAAAGATCTTGCTGTAATTTATGTCAGAGAGTGTTCTGCCTGTGTTTTCCTCTAAGAGTTTTATAGTATCCAGACTTACATTTAGGTCTTTAATGCATTTTGAGTTTATTTTTGTGTATGGTGTTAGGGGGTGTTCTAATTTCATTCTTTAAATGTAGCAATCCAGTTTTCCCTCACTACTTATTGAAGAGATAGTCTCGTCTCCATTGTATAGTCTTGCCTCTTTTGTCATGGATTAGGTGACCATAGGTGCTTGGCTTTATCTCTGGAGTTTCTGTCCTATTCCATTGATCTATATTTCTGTTTTTGTGCCAGAATCATATTATTTTGATTACTGTGGCTTTGTACTAAAGTCTGAAGTCAGGGAGGCTGATTCCTCCAGTTCCATTTTCCCTCAACATTGCTTTGACTATTCAGGGTCTTTTGTGTTTCCATATAAATTTAAAAGGTTTTTGTTCTAATTCTGTGAAAAATGCCTTTGGTAATTTGATAGAAATTGCATTTATATTCATAGATTACTTTGGGTAGTACAGTCATTTTGACAATGACATGGTATCTCTCTCCTTTGGTATGTGTCATTTTTTATTTCTTTCATTAGCATCTTATGGGGCTTCCCTGATACCTCAGATGGTAAAGAATCTGCCTGCAGTGCAGGAGACCTGGGTTCGATCCCTGGGTTGGGAAGATCCCCTGGAGAAGGGGATGGCAACCCACTCCAGTATTCTTGCCTGGAGAATCCCAAGTTCAGAAGAGCCTGGCAGGCTACAGTCCATAGGATCGCAAAGAGTTGGACACGACTGATACTTTCACTTTCACACTTTTCAGCAACTTATAGTTTTCTGAATACAGGTCTTTTGCCTCTTTAGGTAAGTTTATTCCTAGGTATTTTATTCTTTTTGGTGTGATGGTAAATGGGATTGTTTCCTTAATTTCTCTTTCTGATCTCTCATCATTAGTATATGGGAAAGCAATAGATTTCTGTGTATTTTTTTATATCCTGCAAATTTACCAAATTCATTGATGAGCTCTAGTAGTTTTCTGGCAGTATCTTTAGGATTTTGATGTTTAGTATCATGTTATCTGCAAACAGTGATAGTTTTACTTCTTCCTTTCAGTTTAGATTCATTTCATTTCTTTTTCTTCTCTGCTGTGGCTAGGACTTCCAAATCTATGCTGAAGAATAGTGGTGAGAGTAAACACCCTTGTCTTGTTCCTGACCTTATTGGAACTGCTTTCAGTTTTTCACCACTGAGAAAGATGTCAGTTGTGGGTTTGCCATATATGGCCTTTATTATGTTGAGGTAATATAATAATTACCTGTGCCCACTTAATGGACAGTTTTTATCATAAATGGGCATTTAATTTTGTCAAAAGCTTTTTCTGCATCTATTGAGATGATCGTATGGTTTTTATTTAGTTTGTTAATATGATGTATCACATTAATTCGCATACATTGAAGAATCCTTGAATCCCTGGGATAAATCCCACTTGATCATAGTGTATGATCCTTTTAATGTGTTGTTGGATTTGGCTTGCAAGTATTTTGTTGAGGATTTTTATGTCTATGTTCATCAGTAATATCAGCCTGTCATTTTCCTTTTTTGTGATATCTTTATCTGGTTTTGGTATCAGGGTGATGGAGGCCTCATAGAATGAGCTGCCTCTCCTAGCTTTTAAATGTTGGAGTTCCCCCAGGCACTTTGTCCCCGTGCTCCTCCTGGGTGGTCTCAGCCATAGCCACACTCTGCTGCATATTTGTTTACTAATCACTCCCAGGGGAATGGATGTGGCCTGGATCTGGATGCGCCAGCTTCCTGTACCCAACTGTCTCTCTAACATCTGCACTGAGCTGCTTCACAGGCCCTTTCTTGAGCTCTGGGCCTTCCTTCCAGGCCTGGTTCTTCACTTGCCCTCATCCCAGTGATGGCGCTGCAGTTCTGGGGTGCAGGAACCCAAAACACTCCCAGCTCCTCCCAGTCCAGACTCATTCCATCAAAGCCCCTGAATTCTGCTGTCCATCCTACTGCAAAAAGAGTTCAACTATCATCACTTCTTCCTTGGTCTAACATGAGTACCTTTCCAATTGGTCCCTTCCATGCCCACGCTTTCTCCATCTTCCACCCAGTAACTGATCATTGGTCCAGTTAAAACCATTTTGTGGGCTAAATAAACCACTGAACCAATGAACCTCTGAACTAATGAACTTTTCCTAGAACCAAAGTAAAAATCTTCCATATGGCTTGAAAGGTCTTGCAGGGCTGGCCTCTGCCCTCCCCAGAGTTCCCCTCGGGGACTGTCTGCTGGTCCCTCCCCTTTTCCCTGCAAGCCTTCAGATTTTAGTCCAAACATCCCTTAAGGAAACCTTTCATGCTTCTCAGACCATCCTGAACTTCCACAGCACACTGGGCTTCTCCTTCGGTTCTTCCCACAGCTTAGGTTCTAAACCCACCACACAGTGACCTTTTGAGGGTGCACCTCCTCCGCTGGAATGGAGGCCCCGGGGCTCAGAGACCATGTCTGGCTGGTTCCCTGCCTTACCCTCCTCTCCCAGCACATTCCTGGATCCATGCCACGCTTGAAGCTACTCTAGTAGACTGAGCCTGATGAAGAATGTTGTCTCTGCAGTGCCACGAAGGAGAGATCCCACACGCCTGTCCTGCAAGCGTCTGTCCCGTTGGTGGATTCTGACTCGCTCCTCTTCCTCCTGAGGCTGCCGAGCCATTTGCCTCTCTGTCCCTCTTCCTCTGTCGGTGGTCCTCCCTCCAGACCACCTTCTCTTCCTTCCCCTTGTTCTGCTCCCAAGCCCCTTCTTCTCTCTCCACCTTTTGACTCACACGAGCTCCTCGCAGATCTTCTGGGCTCCTCTCATTACAAATGGAATGTCTGGGGGCCTCTGGATGTCCACCCCATTCCAGACCACCAAGGTAGAGAAGAGGCATCATAAAACTCCAGGTAGTGGACAGAGCAGGCCTGATGCTAGTTGGGCAGCTGAAGAAAGGCAGGGATGTCCCATATCTGCCCAGAGAAGAGAACACGCCTGTTGGTTTGTGTCTGCTACCCTTGCCCATGGGTGTTCTCTCACGCCGCTGTCCCCTGCTCACTTCCAGTTCCCAGTGGCCCTCCGTCAACGACCATCTTGGCCTCTGCGAACAAAGTGCAGGGGGGAGATGATGTGAGTGTCCTCTGCACAGTCCTGGGGGAGCCAGATGTGGAGGTGGAATTCAAGTGGACCTACCCAGGGCAGAAGGTAAGCATGCACTGGTGTGCTCCTAAGATGTTTCAGTATGTTTATATTCGGTTGTCCAAAAAGTTCATTCAGGTTTTTCCCTGTTATAAAAAAACCCAAAGGAACTTTGTGGCCAATCCAATAAATGCCTTTTTATTTTTTTTAGAATAGGAAAAAAAAAGTGACTGGGTTCCATTAGGTAATTTGTACCCTCTTTTGTATTAGCTTTCTTCATGACCCCAAAGGAAGGGGACAGGGGCAAGAACAGGAAAGAAGAGGGTCTCCTTTCTTCAACCCCAATCTCAATTTGCAGTCTTAATTTTGGGTCAGTTGGAGGCTAATCTATCTTCCTTCTGGAGTCCTTTAGCCTTCTCCATGTAAAAGCTGGTTCCCGGGGCAAAGAGCTCTTAGCAGACACCCACCAAGTTGGCATGTAAACCCAGGTCTTGGAAAAGGTGCCGTGAGGCTAAGATTATCTTAAAATAGACTTGCCAAAAACGCAGCTCCAGCACATGCAGCCATGGGCCTGTTCTGCTCACTAAAATAGACAGCCTCACTACCAACATGGAACAATCCCCTTGTTGCCAGAAGAGATCTGGATCTGGCATCCTAAGATGTGCTTGGCAGCCAATACGCTTCTGGTCGAAGGGCTGAGATTGGGGGAAAATAACTCTCCTGGAGAATGGTGCTTTCCCAGTGCTAAGTACTTGTTTCTGAAGTGTTGTCCCATTTAGAAGACATTAATGAGAGGTTTTTTGGTTTCTTTACATTGCTAATTATTAGCAGAAAGGGTATTAATTCAGTAATACTATAAATATTACAATTGTGTTAAACTAATTCAGAATACACTACATATCACCAAAGTTGGAGGAAGCATCTCAGAAGTGACCATCTCACTTTCTAGAAATAGGGAGTGAAGTCACCTCGGGTATAATTTTATCCAGCCCGGGCACAGCTTTTCGCCCACTGCAGTCCTAGGGCACATTTGACTAATCGTGTCTCCCTCCCCCAAATCTGAGCAGTTGAGAGCTCATATACATTTACAAGGTGAGAGCTTCAGGCTTCTAAGTTCTGTAAGAACCACTGCGCCAAGGGGTGAACGTGAGCAGTGTCAACAGCAGAGCAGTGGAAAAACTTATCTGTATCTTTATGCCTAATACCAGCCCCACATTCTTGAAGTTCCAAAAGAGTAAAATTTATATTAAGTAGAAACTTGAAGAAAAGGGCAGGAAGAGAGAGCCAAACAGCATAATGAAATTTAAGACTCTGCTTGGAAAAGAAAAAATGCAGCCTAAACTGACTAGACAGTGTCAGAGCTCCCATGAGCTGCGCATACCAAATAGTCCTGTAGGAGCATGTGTTTTGCGCTTTGAAAGGGATACTCAGCAGTGGCAGATGAATGGGAGCTGTTGAGAGCGGCGCGTGGTTTGTGCTCCAGCCCCCGTGGGTGTCGTTCAACAGGATGAAAGGCCCGTGACGATTCAGGACTCCTGGCGGCTGATCCATAGAGGACTTGGGCACACCACACGGATCTCCCAGAGTGTCCTGAGCATTGAAGACTTTGAGACCATTGACGCAGGTTATTACATTTGCACTGCTCAGAATCTCCAGGGACAGACCACAGTAGCCACCACTGTGGAGTCTTCCTGACTTGGAAGATGAAGTATAAATGAACTGACGGAAAGCCCACTGGTGTCCGCAACCAGCTCCGGGGTTCTTTGTCTTTGCCAGGGCCAAACCCCAGGCTCTGCCTTGAGTCAGACCCAGACCTCCAAACTAAAAGGAAGTCATCCGGTCTAATTATAGAAGTGTTAACTCTCCTAGCAGAAAACATGTATTCTGACTGCTGACCTACGTATATGCATTTCTAGTGCTTCTACTCAGAAGGCATATATGTAAACAACTTATATAATCATTTCTATTAAAGAAGCAAGTTTTTGTAAAAAGTTAAAAAAAAAAGGGGCTAAGTGCTTGTTGTTTAAGTCTGCTTGAAGTACACCCAGAAGCATCCAGAAGTACATCCAGAAGCACTCGTTGGCAGCAATGTTTGAGTCAATACCTAATATTGCCTTGGGTATCATAACCACACTATGAGAGAATCTAAAAATGTAGTGATTTTGTATATATAGTTCAACTGTACATGAACTATTGTATGATATGAAAAATCAAAAAATACCATATAAACTTTTTTTTAAACTGCTGCACTCAGAATTACTAGTTCTAGATTAGACATTTAGTAAGAACAGCAGCATTTTTTTTAAAGATCATCAGGTTGTCCTGGGTCTCCGTTGCTGCACGTGGGCCTTCTCTAGCTGCGGGGAGCAGGGGCTGTTGTTCACTGCCCAGCACTGACTTCTCGTTGCAGGGGTTTCTCGCTCTCGTTGCGGAGCACAGGCTCTAGGCGCATGGGCTTCAGTAGTCGCAGCTCGCAGGCTCTGGAGCACTGGCCCAGCTGCTCTGCGGCATGTGGGATCTGCCCCAAACAGGTATCGAAACAGTGTCCCTGGCATTGCAAGGTGGCTTCTTAACTACTGGACCACCAAGGAAGCCCAGTATGTGTTTTTAAATGTTTAACTTTCAATATAAAATAGATGCACAGGTTAAGGAAGATTCCACTTTGTTTAGGCTTATTTTTACCATCTTCAAAATATGTAGACTGTAGCTGTTCCAATTTTCTTATCTTATACAGCAGAAACTATCATTAAAACCAGTAAAAGTTTATTATTTCTCAAATACCCGTAGCTCTGAATTTAGAAAATCTTGAAGTCTTAGCTCTGGGAGGTAAATTTCAGCTCATGTCCAATTTTGTGGTTGCATTGGAAATTCCTAGGAAATAGGTTAAGAGGAGATAATTCCTATGGTGTAAACTAGATAACACTTTGGAGAGTGAACTATGTCAGAGGATGCAACCCTTATACAGAATATTCCAGCATTATTTATTTGATTAAAATACTTTCCATCACTCCAAACTGAGCACAACTATGGTTGTTTACACACTCATGTTTTTATGATGTGCCAACATTTTGCACCCTAAGTGGTAACAGTTGGTTTCAAAATAATTTTAAAGTTCTGTTTTATTTCCTCTCATCATCATCTCCCATTCTCTGAAGATGTTTTGTATTAACTGTGTCAGAATGATTACCCCAGACACTTAAATGGCATGGAGGACACAAGGAACAGCACAAGATTTACCATGTGCAGGGAATGGAATGACAAACCCCACTTTGGCTAATGACGTTGAGGACAGATTGGAAAGTGAGCAGAGAGAGATTCCAGGAGGTGGCAGTGAACCTACGTTCCCGTTTATCAGAAATGAACATGAAAGGTTACATACATAATCAAGTGTCAGAGGTTAAAGACTTTAGAAACAATCACTAGTAAAACAAACAATGCATCATGAATATCAGTCCACTGTGTCAGTTCAGTTGCTCAGTCATGTCTGACTCTTTGTGACCCCATGGACTGCAGCATGCCAGGCTTCCCTGTCCATCACCAACTCCCAGAGCTTGCTCAGACTCATGCCCATCGAGTCGGTGATGCCATCCAACCATCTTATCCTCTGTCGTCCCCTTCTCCTCCTGCCTTCAATGTTTCCCAGCATCAGGGTCTTTTCCAATGAGTCAGTTCTTAGCATCAGGAGGCCAAAGTATTGGAGTTTCAGCTTCAGCATCAGCCCTTCCAATGAATATTCCGGACTGATTTCCTTTAGGATGGACTGGTTGGATCTCCTTGCAGTCCAAGGGACTCTCAAGAGTCTTCTCTAACACCACAGTTCAAAAGCATCAATTCTTCGGCACTCAGCTTTCTTTATGGTACAACTCTCACATCCATACATCTACTACTGGAAAAACCATAGTTTTGACTAGACTGACCTTTGTAGGCAAAGTAATGGCTCTGCTTTTTAATATGTCTAAGTTGGTCATAGCTTTCCTTTCAAGGAGCAAGCATCTTTTAATTTCACGATTGCAGTCACCATCTGAAGTGATTTTGGAGCCCCCAAAAGTAAAGTCTGTCACCGTTTCCATTGTTTCCTCATCTATTTGCCATGAAGTGATGGGACCAGATGCCATGATCTTTTTGAGTGTTGAGTTTTAAGCCAACTTTTTCACTCTCCTCTTTCACTTTCATCAAGAGGCTCTTTAGTTCATCTTTGCTTTCTGCCACAAGAGTGGTGTCATCTGCGTATCTGAGGTTATTAATATTTCTCCTGGCAATCTTGATTCCAGCTTGTGCTTCATCCAGCCTGGCATTTCACATGATGTACTCTGCATATAAGTTAAATAAGCAGAGTAACAATATACAGCCTTTACATACTCTTTTCCTGATTTGGAACCAGTCTGTGTTTGATGTCCAGTTCTAACTGTTGCTTCTTGACCTGCATACAGATTTCTCAGGAGGCAGGTAAGGTGGTCAGGTATTCCCATCTTTTTAACAATTTTCCATAGTTTGTTGTGATCCACACAGGTGAAGGCTTTAGCGTAGTCAATGAAGCAGATGTTTTTCTGGAATTCTCTTGCTTTTTCTATGATCCAACAGATGTTGGCAATTTGATCTCTGGTTCCTCTGCCTTTTCTAAATCCAGCTTGAACATCTGGAAATTCTTGGTTCACGTACTGTTGAAGCCTAGCTTGGTGAAATTTGAGCATTGCTTTGTAGTGTATGTGTAAGTGACAACTCAAAGATCCACCTCTAGTGGCCTGAACCTGTTCTTACTATAGGGGTTATTTGTAAAGCCACTGAATGTCAGCTATGCTGATTAGTAAATATGGACAGCACAAGCTTGACACGCGCAGGGAGAAAAAAGCCACAGTTTTTCCTTCTACTTCCCCCAACATATTAGAACTGGGGGAGGTAGTAAGTGATGTTTCGAAGAGAGACTGAAATGCAACCTGGAGAAGAGCTGGACAAGCCGCATTTTCCTCTCACCGACTGGCCATTCTGCTGTCTTCCCCAGGACAGGACGATTCCTCAAAGGTACGTGGAAATTTAGCATTATCGCCCCAGCCTGCTCTATTAGTAAGGTGCTCTTAGTCACCCAAAAGCACTGAATCCTATCTTTCCCAGTTCTGTCAGCTATCGACTCTTTCTTGTTCTTTAATCTCTCTAGGATGTCCCCGAATCTGTACTTTTGGAACCAGGCCCTGGTTTATTTGGAAAAGTGGTCAGCACCTTGAAGATGAGCTGGCTTTGGCAAAGCATATTCCTTGTCCCAGAAAAAAGCAGGAAGGAGGTGGAAGGTTTGCTTTTGTGGCTCTGGATTGGGTAGAGAGGGGCAGGGGGATGGGGATGGGAGAGAAGAAGCCAGTTGAAATCACTGAGAATAGCTCAGATCAAGCTAAAAATAAGGCAGAGAGCAATCCATGGGTACTGCTCTTTCTTTATACAGATTTCTTTTCTTTTCAAGCAAAATTAGGGTTCTGCATTTGCTCATAGCCTGAGAAAATGGATTGTAGTATTTCACGTTCACATGGGTAAGTTAAAAAAAGAACTAGCTCGTTTCAACTGACACAGCTGAACACTGAAAGGCTGCCAACAAGTTACCCCAGAAGGATGCAGAGAAGGTACAGCCCCGGGGAAGTCAGAGCTGCTTCTGTGGCCCCTCTTCCTCCCAGGGCAGAGGGCCCAGCAGGCCGGCAGTGAAGGAGCCTGACTCCAGCAACTGTTGCTCTTCCTTCTATGGCTTCTGCGGAGATGTCTACACTGAGGACTGCTCGATGAGCATGCCTCCAGAGATGCTCAGCTCAACACACGGCAAGGGAGGCAGCCGTCGACACACACGACACCCGGGTCCATCCGCTCCATCCACACAGCCCCAGTCAGACCAAAAGAAGAACCACAAGAAGGTGTCTGTGGTGAAGGTTATATAAATTACAAAGGTTATATAAGGTTACAAAGGTTATATAAATCTTTATCTTAACAGGCCCCTGAGAGTTTTCCCCTTTACCCATAGGTGAAAAAGGCAATGACCAAGGTTTTCCCGTCCTGTAAGTGCTCTGTGCGACAGTGTCCGTGTAGATCCGTTCCCATAGCATCTTTGGACCGGGTCGGACGCCTTCCTCCGGAGTCCGGTCTCACGAGGGAGGAGCCGGTTCGGGTCGGGGCTTCCCGCTTCTAGGGCGGGTGGTGCGCAGTTGCGGGCGGGGTCAGTCCTGCAGAGACGTTGTCAGTCTGTCTGTGGCTCCCGGGAAGGTCATCTGGGTGGGACGGGCTGGGGCTGGGGAAGGAGCCGGAGTGGCGAGGCGACTGGAAGGGCGTGGCGGGGGCCGTGGGGGACCTCTTGGGGCTGCACAGGTTTCCGTTGTGGAGCTTCCAGAGTAGCTCCTCGTTCTCCATGGAGAGGCGCTTGTTGACCTTGGACTCCTTCTCCAGCGACTCCTGCAGGACCGCCTGCTCCGTGGAAAGTTGCCTGGCAGACAGAAAGGAGCCAGAAACCACGTGAGTCTTTTTCTTTTTAAGAGGCTGAAAAAGAATTCTTACTGTTTTAAATCTGAGAGCCCCCAGATGATCTCTGGAATGAAAGGAACTGCTGTACACGGGTGCTGGGCTGGCAGAGGAACGCAGGAAGTGTGAGCTGGAGCCGAAGGAAAAGCTACACTGTGAGGCAGTTGCGTAGCAGACCTCGTAACGCGCCCACAGGCAGGCTGTGTCTT